AACGCTGCGGCTGGCAGATCGCGAACTTCGGAAGACGGCACATGGAGCACCCATACGGTAGTTCAATCGGAAGCCGTTCTTGGGACGCGAGAGCCACCGCACTTGCGCGGGAGGGGCAACAACGAATGCACAACGCTGATATTGGCCCCAGCAGAACCATAGTGGGGCTAGTTATGGGCACGAGACGTGTGGGCTGTGGGCCAAGAATGGCGTCCTTTGTGCGTGCTAGCTTGCCCCGTCGCAGGGGTTTCGCATGGAACGCGAAGTGCGTCGTGTGTGTGTACGTGGTGCACGCCACAATGGGCCTCCAGAGCGCATGCACGCGTGCACACTTGCGCCGTATATGGCGGCTACCTGGGGAACGCGATCCGCAACAGCAGCAGCGGCCGCAAAAGCGAAAGCAGCAGTGGCAGCAGAATCGCCCGAACAACCAAAACACAAGCAGTAGGACGAATGGGGCGCACGGCACAGCCAAGACAGCAGCTTCTTCAACGGCTGCGGGAAGTCACCGCGCAGCTCGCGGAGCGAAGAAACCAAGGATGCCCTGACAAAAAACAGATGGTTTCTGGATGCGCGCCCTCACTGTATCTATGCCTGCCCGCTGGCGCCGCAGCTGGGGTGGGGCCACCTGCGTGGCACGAGCCATGCCAGAGGAGTACCAAAAAAGGCCTGGCGCGCATGCGGGCGTACCCGCCGGCCGCCGTTTTGGGAGCCCCAATGGAACACGAACTACGCGACGGGTGGTCAAAAACGACCCTGGTGCACACGCGAGCGTCCCACTGGCGTCGTCCCTGCAGCTCCACTCCTGAAAACAAGCGGCACACGTTTGGGAGCCTGGCCTCTCCTCTGATGCACGCACACATTCTTGCGAGCACCGAAGCAACAAACAGTTCGCCCATGTTAAATGCAAGGGAGCTCGAAGACAATAGACGGTGACGAGACTGTCGAAGAACCTGCAGGCGGCTCGCAGTGGCACAGGCGCCGTCGGCCTCTGGCGGACTGCGGGACAAGGCCCCTGCCCGAACCACGAAGCGACACGACCGCGACTCGTGACGACGGTCTCCTCCGACGAGCTGCCGCTCACCCCAGGCGGCGAATGGCAGCAGTCTGCTGGGCCCTGGCACGCTGCGTGTGCGGCTGCGGCTGGTCCAAAAAGCTGCGGGCCGCTCGGCACGGGGGCCGAGGGCACTGCGGCAGCGGCAGGGGCGGCCGTGGCACACGAGGAAGGACCTGCGCCGGCCAGGCCGAAGCAGCAACCAGGGGAGCAGGCGGCCGCGCCCATACCTTCGTGCGCGGGGGGGCCACCTGGCGAGCTGGAGCCTGCGCGGGGGGCAAAGGGGGGAGGGGGCGACGCGCCGAGGAGCGGCGCCAGAGAGCGAACCTCTGCAACACGCACCACGGAAAGGTTAGCACAGAGGGGACGGCAGCCAAGGGCAGCCCCAGAGCAGGCGCCGCTGATCTGGCCACCCCGCAGACGCCGCCTGACGAGAGTGGCGGCGTCACGCCATATCACCGCCGGCAGCCTTTCTGCCCCCTACAACGGGGGCGCAGGGAACGCAGCGCCCCGGAGGCGGAGAAGAAGATGGCAGGCGATCGCGGCACGTTGGGTCGACCGCACGCCGTGCGGACCAGCATTTCCCAGGAGCCTGGCCCTCGTCGAGACCAGCCGGCAGCCCCGGCAGACTGCACTGGGAGCGGCGGCCTGTGTTTCGGCGGGCCAGCCACCCGCCGAGGTGAGGGCCTCCTGGCGAAGCAGGGGCCCGCGCGCACGCCGCCCCGGATGAGCACAGGGCGCCCCGCGCAATGGGCGGTTTGAGTTCGGCAGCAGGAACCACCCAGCGGCAGCAGGGCCACGACCTCCTGAACAAGCGACGGCACTAGAGGAGGCCGCAGGCCAGGCGGAGCCGCACGAGCCCAAACATAGAGAGAGAGAGAGAGACAAGAAAAGACCCGCGGGTCACCCAGGCCCGCCGCGAAATCACCAACACGCGGCCTGCTCAGGTCCACCCAGAACCTGCCAGACGACACAGGCGGCGCAGGCTAGTGGCAGCGCGCCAGGGCCACAACGGCCCTGGCGCTGCGAGGAGGAAAAACAGGCTGCTGCGTTCGTGGAAACACGCGTTCGGCGTCGCGGCCGCCAGCGGCCACGGGCCGCGGAACGACTGCCAGGGAAGGGGCACATACCTGCGCCATCACTGCAGCAGGAGCCGTTATCCGCAGGGCGGCAAAAATGCGGAGGCACCCCGCGGCTCGGGCGCCCTGCGCTTCGACCAACCGTCTGCAGCGGCGGCTGACGTTGGCCCCTCTTCCACGCTGGCCGCCCCCGGTGGCGGCCGCGGCCGGACCGCTGCCCCCGACGGCCTGGAGCGGCCAGACAACCAACCGGCCGCCCGCCTGACGAGACTGAAGAGCTGACCTTGGCACAACGTGGACCAGGCAGCGGGGGTGCCCTGAGCGCGAAGCACTACCGACCCTGCCTGACCTGCGTCCCGGGAAAGCTCGCCAGGCGGCCACGGCTTCGACCGAGCGCCCAGTGGGCGTCCGCCAAGGCAGGGGAGCGCGCGGCAGCGGCTGCCTCGGCGGGAAAGACGCGCGAGCCCTTCGACGGCAGACGCACGGAGGGACGGCGCCACGAAGCGTGCCTCCAGACGTCCCCGAACCCACTAGACGCCCCGCGCGCCTGCCATCTCAGCTGTGGCCTCCTCCGCAGGAGGCCCAGGGCACCGGGGGGCGCCTGAACCTATCACGTTCGGCACGGTAGCCTGACAGGGTCGCGACCTCGGCGCTGGCTCTGTCTTGCGACTGGAGGGAGCGCTGACGGCCCCGAAATCAACTGGCGACGCCACTCCCAGCTGGCGCTGCGGGCAGGGCTTCAGCGGCCGCCTGGACGGCCGGCGCCTGGCCAATCCAGGAAAACAGCCCCAGGCCGCCCGCCTCTAATCCCAGCAGTCCTCTGGGCGTAGGCGGTTGAGCGTGTCCTTCCATCCCTCCCTCTTCCCCTTCGGGGAAGGATTTCCCCCTCCCCCGCCCCCCCTCCCCCGGACATGGAGGGGCGCGGTCGCGGATCGCTGGAGCGCCCAAGATGGCCCAAGATGGCTCCAAAAAGGCCTCAGAGAGCCCAAGATGACCTCCAATATGCGTCAAGATGGCTCCCAAAATGCTCAAAGAGGGCCCAAGACCGCTTCTAGACGGCTCCGAACGGCCACGGAGCCCCCTCAGGAGGCCGCCAAGAAGCCAAAATCCTTCAAAAGCCTTGGGAAAATCAATGGATGTTGCATTCTCGCCTTTTCGCTTCCGATGGCCTTACGAGGTCTTCAGACAGCTCCAAGAGGGCTCATGAGGACCCCAAGAGAGACCCCAGAGAGCCCTAAGACGGCCCCGAGAGCGCTCAAGAGCGCTCCAAAAGGGGCTCAGAAGTGATTTGGGGGGCTCCCGAGGGGGGAGGCTCATTGAAGCTGCCCCCCTTTTGCGATGGATCTCCTGAAAGCTGAAAGATGGCCCAAAGAGGCGCCCAGGAGGCCCCAAGAGGCCCCAAGATGGCCCCAAGATGGCTCCAAGCTGGCCCCAAAAGGCCCCGAGGAGGCCCCCAAAAGGACCCAAGCGGCCTTAAGACCCCCCCCCCCCGAGGCACCCAAGACGCCCAAGAGCCCCCGAGGACCAGCGAGAGACCCCCAAGACGTCCCAAGAGGCTTCCAAGAAGAGCCCAAGAGATATCCCAAGAGGCTCCGAGATGCATCCAAGAGGCCTCCGGCCCTCTTGCTTGCATTCCTCCTCCTCCTCTTTGTTTTTCCTCCTCCTCCTCCTCCTCCTCCTCCTCCTCCTCCTCCTCCTCCTCCTCCTCCTCCTCCCCCTCCTCCTCCTCCTCCTCCTCCTCCTCCTGCTGCCGCGTGGCCGAGGCGCACAGTCTCTCCTTGCCCAGCGCCCTACCGCCCCACGGCAAAGGCCACGACAGGCACCAGCTCCTCGGCCTCCTCTCGTCTGACACTGCGGCTTAGGATCGAATACTTCGCTCGGAGCGCGTTGTACAAGAAGTACGCTACAACAGGAACCTCACAAGATTTGCGAGACGGATCCAGCACCCCGAGGCGGTCCAGAGGGTCCCACGGCAGAGCCCGAAGCCCAAGGATCTTGGCGACGAGGGCATTAAAAGGGATGCAACACCAGTAGTGGTGAATCTGGTCTTCGCCACCCGACTCGCGAGAACAACCTCATTTACAACGTGCATATTCAGCCAGCGACTTCTGGAATCGGCATTGGGTGAGCCAATTCTTAGAGACCGTGCGAAACCAGGCTGAGGCCAAGGACGGCTTCAACCCAGCAGCAACGCGCTGCACCTCCCCCCAAGGAATCAGAGCGAGACGAGGACCACACCCAGGGAACCAATCCCGAAGACGAGCATCGAGGAGCGAACGATTTGGGTCAGGGTACAAAGTCTGGGAAAACGCACGAGTTACAAATCGCAGGATTTGAATCTATCACGTCGATTATGCGCTATTTCTAAGGGAGGAGCACTCAGACAGATGTTGAAGAAGGAGATGATGAAGAGGGGGATCAGCGTGACCGTTACGAGCCTCATACATGTGTTGACATATAGCAGGAGACATCAAATGTTCAGGAGAGAACTTACCAGCAGCAGCTGTTCCGATAGCGTTCCGAAGCGGCTCGAAGACGATTATAACACGGCCCCCAATCATATGTGTCCAACGCATCACGCGCATGGGCAGCCAGTGCCATGGCCTGCAGCGACGGGATCTTGGGTCCGCCCCAAGCTGACCACGCGAAGAAAAACGCTCGCGCCAGACCACAGAACGGCAAGTGGAAGACGCGAGCCAGCAGCACCGACTCGTCGTGGTCGATACGCTTCGGCAGAGGGAGGATTTGAGCCACATAGGATTTGATGAGTATAAGGAAGATGTGATGGATTGGGGTGAACGTGCAACCACTAGCACACTGCCACGCGCGCGCCACTTAGATACAGGAGCTTTCCAAGACTGGGCCTCCTAATCTGGTCCGATCCACATCCCAAGATACTTGAACAGCTCAACTGTCGACAACTGCCCCCGCCCAGGAACAAGCTCATCTAACCGTGCTCGATACTGTTGTATCAGTTCGGGTGCGATCAGACCTGCGAGCGGCAGCAGCTGGCACTTCGCCAGCTTCAAGCAAAGGCTGGCAAGAGCTTTGGCATTACCGAAGATGCGTTTGATCTTCGGGAGAACATCTAAGGAGACCACCACCGAGCAGAGGTCGTCCGCACATGCACGTGCTCGACCACGAAACTTCTGTTCAATCGAGCAAAAGAGTTGGAGAAAGAGCTCGAGACTGGCAGCGAAATAAGTTCCGCTACCCGGGCAGCCTTGGTTAATTCCCGCCAGCATCTGAAACAGGTATCTCGTCTCTCCCCCGAACTTGCCGAAACAATGAGCGCTGACATATATCACCTGTATAAACCAAAGCAGCGGCCCAGGGATTCCGATAGCTTCCAAGACCAGGAAGAGCCAGGCACGGGCGAGAGACAGAAACGCTCGGGCGAAGTCGCACGCCAACAGCGCGGGCAAGCGCTCGGGCGACGACGGCACCATCGATAAGATGCGGAACCCCGCGTCCATCTCAATGATACGCGTGCCGATCTGTCGTCCTAAAATGAATCCTCGCTGACTGAAGCGGCCGCCTTTGGCCCATTGGACACTGAAAGCCCGGGCAGATACAGCCGCGAAGATTTTCACGTCACAGTTTATCCCAGCGGGCGAAATTCCGAGGCTTCCCGAACAGCTCCAAAAGCGTCCTGCTCCCCCTCCCCCTTTAGAATAAAAGCCCCACGAATGTAGTCGAAACCCATCATCATGTTCCTCCCCTACAATATCCAAACCATCACCTCATCTAGGATGTCCACGGCCATGGGCGCGCGCTGCCACGCGGCGCAGGGCAGCAAGTCTGGCCCTGGCCCACTATGATGCACAAGAGAGAGCTGCTTTTCGATCATACGCTTGCTCGGGGGGAAGTTCGAAAGGACCACGTGTTTCGTCAACTTCTCAATGTAGACCTTCGCCGAGGCCTCGAATATCGGTTTGGAATCAAAAACTGGGCCCCAATAAAATGAAATACAAGCAGCTATCTCGTCGGGCGCCGTGTACGTGCCAAGCGGATGCCTGATACCTCTAAGCACTCGACGACGATCGACTGGTGCCCTGACCTTACACCGCTGCTGTAGTCGACGCTGCTGCTGCTTCAATTTCTTCATCATAGCTTTATCCGAAAATCAATGCCCAAGTAACTCTTTCATCCTCTCCTCCACCTGCTTCTGCTGCTCCTCTAAGTCCTCCGAGGTCAGGCTATCGATCGTCGCCCCATACCCAGCTGGACAGAGAAGCCAAACCTTATCTTCCAGCAAATTGAGACCGAGAAACTCACGAGCGAGCGGATGCGCACTCAGCAGAGTAGAAGCAAGCTGGACGTCCTGCCGCCAAACTGCACGGCCAACCGGACCGCAAGATCGTGATCTGCGCCAGCTTGGAGCCCGGTTCAGCTGCTGAAAGAGAGTTGCGAGCAACACGAGCAGCCTTTCGCATCAGTGTCTTACAGTAGACTAACTTGAGCGGGGGCGCCATGTTAGACCAGTCCGTCGCCTCGAGGTAAGCTTTCATCGCGCGTTGGGACCTTGTGTCCTACCTGTACCCATTGGGGCCCTGTCCCCCACGTGAGCACCTACGGTGCGGGTTGACGCAACGGCTGGCGCGGGTGCCGGCCTCCCTCCTCCCTGTTCGCTTCGTCCCTCCCCGCTCGCTTCCCCCCCCCCTCCCATGGCGGCAGCGCCCGGCACTGCGCGGCTTCCGCCCGGTGCCAGGCGCTGCACCTTGCCGCCTCGGCGGCCCCGCTTGCCATGGCGCTGCGCGGCGCGGGCCCGGCCCCCGGCCACGCGGACGTCAGCGCATCGTGCGTGGCACCTGCCCGTCCTCACGCGCTGGCTGTGCAGGTCAGATATCCCTGCACTCCACCGACATCCTGTCGGACACAGGCGGCCCTCGTCTCTGGCCGCACCTCTTGCAGGCTGCTTCCTGGTCGCGGATTGGACTACCACCCCAGGCCGCTTCCGCGCCATCTGGCGGCACAACGCTGCACATCGCCTTCGCGGCGCTCCTCCTCCGCCTGGGCCCCCTCCACACCATCCCGCGGCACAACGTTGCTCATCGCCTTCATGGTGGTCTTCTCCCCCCTGGACGTCGACCTGGTCACGTTGCACGCACGCCCTCCTCCGCAGCGCTTGAGGCTGGTGTTCACGAAGTGCCGTTGACGGCAGCACCACGTCGCTCACCATCCGGACCTTCGCCTCCGGCTCCTGTCCACGGCGTACCTTTTCCTGTGCAAGTTCCTCGGCACCGCCTGCACCCCGGGCCCCGCCCTCTCGGCCGCCTGAGGCCCCGCCCGCCTCTGCCTTGTCTCCCCAATGGATGCTGCGCGCGGCCCACTTAGCATCTATCGGAAGAGGTTCGCACTCGCCCCGCAGAAAAAAAAACTGCTTGTAATATGTCGCGTTATAGATGAATCTCGGGCTCGGTCTCTCGTCGGGAGGCGTCGATCGCAGCGGGCTAAACGTGACTAGAATCGGCACGTGATCCGAAATGTTATTGTGGAAGGTGATCTCTACCATTCCTTTAGCATGGCCAGTACCTCCTCTTCCTCCTCCTCCTCTTCATCCTCCTCCCCATCCTTTTCCTCCTCCTCCTCCTCCTCCCCCTCCTCATCATCATCAGTATCATCATCAGCATCATCACCATCACCACCATCACCATTACCACCATTACCACCATCAACATCATCATCCTCATCATCTTCATCATCCGCCTCCTCCTCCTCCTCCGCTTCCTCCTCCTCCTCCTTCTCCTCCTCCCCCGTAGCCATTTTGGCTCAAGTACGAAGCCGTCGCCCTGCGGCTGCGCACTTGCCTGGAACAAAAGGCAGGCTCGAGACGAGCCTGCCCCGTCAGCAGGCATTGCGCGCGGCCTGCTGATTGCCCAGCAGGTCTGCTCAGTCTTTCTCTCGGCGCGCCCTCGCGCCCCCAGCCTCCTCGCCCCGAGTCCTCGTGGAAGCGTCGAGCAAGCCCTATGTCTCATGCTTGTGGATGCCACGACAATGGACACCCTATCAGTCCTATCATTGAATGTTACATGCGTGGAAAATGTCGAAAAATGTTCGAAACACGTTTTCAACAGATGTTTTACAAGTTTAAGCATGGTAGAGACATGTTTTAGACATCTGGAAAGTATTTGGAAACATGCTTCCTCTCCATTGATCGTCCTCCACAATCCTATGCCCCAACTCCGCTTGCCCAGGTGCGACCTGGGCCAGCCGCCACCTGCCGCACCGTGCCCTCCTCGGCACCCGGCAGCCAGGTCTGGAGGAGAGCGGCTGGCGCGGGCGGGGTGACCCGAAAGGGAAGGGCATGGGCATAGGACAACAAGGAGGAGCTGGAGGAGGAGCAGCAGGTACGGAAGGAGCAATCGGTGGTGGAAGTAAGCCTCCTTGAAGGCGCGAATCGATTGCGCTTGTTCCTCCGCCTCAAGTTGATCCGCACTGTCATGAGTTGTTGATGGCACAGCACCTGGTCAAGTTCTATATGGGGCGGGGAGCGGATCAGAACGACACTCGCTTTGCAGAAGCCCATGAAGCAGTGAGATCGGCCAACGAGTCAGTTGTCCAGGATCGGTCCCTCGAACAGAAAGCTCAGAGTCTCTCGGCCCTGATCCAGCATCAGGAGAACCTCATGATCATAACCTCGGAGACGCTTGCAGGTTTGGAAACTCAAACAGCTGAAATGGCCACCAAATATGAAGCTGCCTCGGTGCCGCTTAGAGGTTCCAAAACCCAGCTGGATAGCTCAGCTTGCTTGCACGACGAATCAGCCCAGGACTCGGGAGCCGGAGAGTTTCTCGCATTGGATCGCGGGATCGAACGGAGCGTCGACGCATGAGTTGGCCGCGCTCTCCAACCAGAGAAAGCAGCAGTTGAATGTGGGTATCTCGACTTTGGAGGGTAGTATCGCCCAACTTTCCACCCCCCTGCAGGAGTGGAAAACAAGATTACCCAAAAGAACTGTAAGGTGACCTTGAGTGAGAGCCATGAGGTTTTGGATTCGGATGAAGGGGATGCCTGGAAGAGGAAAAAGGGAAGTGGCGATGACATCGGCCACACCCACGAAAACATGGAAGCCCTTCGCCAGGAATGTCCAGAAATACATGACAAGGTGCAAGCTATCACCAGGACCCAAAACGCGAAGTCTCGTGGCAAAAGATTCCAGCCAGTACGTTCGGCAAGTGGGTCCACAAGCAATGTTCCGCATGGACCAGGTTCGGCTTCAGCATCGTCAGCAGGGCCCCAGGGCAGAGTCCAGGAAGGGAAGGGCAGGCCCCGAGCCGCTCTCGCCGCTGCCCCAGCCACCGAGCTGCCTGCCCAGCTACCGAGGGGGGGGCGGGAGGGGGGCGCTATCTCGGGGGCTCAGTCGGAAGCTGAGATTTGACAAAGTTCGGGCCAAGGGTGGGCCCTGAAAACAAACACCCTCAACAATGATTCATTTGCTACGTTCGAACTATAAGCATAAGTCTGGTCGTTGTCAGTTCCCTGAGGCCTCCATGTTGCTCCTGCCAGAAACACTACTGAACGATGCAGAAGCAATCCTGTCTGCTATGGAGTGGTGTTATGATCGTAGTCGCCTTGGCTTCTTTACGAAGGCTGCTGCTCATGATTCTGGGGTACCTTCTGGTGGTGATGCAATCTAGATTCGAGCAGGTCTCAACCGTGGTGCAAGTCATATACCCATCGAATTTCCTATGCCGCCTAGACCTTGTGCTCTCAAGCTTGAAATCCCTGGGCTGACCAAACTTAGTCTGGTGTCGCTATATATGCATACTAAAATACGCTTGAACAATACGAACCTATCGCTGTTGGAAGATACTGCTAAGCTCCAAGAACAGGTTCAGCTGCCGGTGCGTGTTGCAGGTGATTGGAACATGGAACCTCGCAGGTTGGAGTCATCTGGGTTCTCGGTTCGAGCTGACATGGACGCTGTAATACCTTCGAAGCCGACCTGTATTAAGCCCAAGTCGAAGACTGCTATTGATTTCTGTGCTCTCTCCTGTGCTTGCTGGCATTGTTACCACGTTGTCTGCCGATTCGACGTACCCCATCTCCCCGCACTGTCCAGTGTCCCTGCATGCGTGGTGCGGATAAGCAGCACATGATCTCAGCGTTGTGCAAGTGCAAGCGTACTCCCCACGTTAAGCCCTCTGGCCCGTCTCTTGAGAATCTACCTTGGGTGGTTCTGGAAGACCAGGTCTCGAAGTTTGAGGAGGTGTGCGGCGTCGCGCAGGAGATGAAAAGTGCCCATGACCGTGCTAGTTTCGAGGCTCGCCAAGCTGCGTTGGATGCTGCGCACGGTAGTCATGCCATGGAATTTGGGCACACAATCAGCAGGATGACAGATACCCCACTGAAGACAATCTCTCAGAGAGCACGTCGGGCAAGAGTTGTGCACGTTCCTCTGAAGATTCGTTCTACGAACCTTAAGCTGTCTTGGACGTCGCACCTAGCGCCGCCGCGATGGCTTGCGAAGCGGGCTCAGACGGCCGCCAGCAGTCTCAACCAGAAAAGGGCACGTCGGACATTGCTGGAAGACTTGGAAGCCTGCCCACCGGAGTTCAGATCGGTGTCAACTCTTATTGGTTTCTTTGAAAGAGCTAAGATGCTCTCGGCAGCGATCTCCCAGGACTTAGGACCGCAGACCCGAAACGTGAAAGTCGCTGAATGCATTCTCCAAGCCTTCCTGAAGGACCTGGAACCCGCTTGGAAGGATGAAAGTGTCAAAGATACCCTAAGTTCACTCACGCCTTCAAAAGGGTGGGTAGTCAGTCAAGGAAGTTCAAGTCTCTCTCGGATGCACACGTGGCTGAAGTGGAAGGATGTCTGGCAGTCTGGCGAGGTGCAGCAACGCTCTGGCCAGCGGTTAGGGCAGCCCTCGCGCATCCTCGGGGCGGAGGCGGATAGACTGGAGCAGCTCTGGAAGGGACCCCCCCCTTCCCTTGGGAAGACGACCCGGCAGACAGGGAAGCTGCGCCTCTTGCCACGTCTGAAGACTTGAAAAAAAAGGTTGTTCCGCATACAATGCCAAAACCTCCCAGACATATGACGGATTCCACCCTCGACATAATCTGATGTGGTTGGATATGCTATCAAGTTTGTTAGCTGGGCTCT